TCTTACATCGATAAGATATTCACTTATTTTCTTACTTCTAAAACGAAGCAAGAATCCCAAAGCCTTCACGATTCAATCTGAATCTGTGATTCGGTGGTCCACTGGCTAACGCACCCCCGGTAAAGGCAAAGATCCCACGCAGGTAGCGATCCAAAATGATCTAGCGTGTGTTTCTAGGGAGCACTTGTAATTTGGCTTTGTTGTAAAGAGTAGTTTTACAAAGCACAAGGCTTTTTCTTTTGTATTTATTGTAATCGATAAACAGTTATAATGAATTCTACAATGAAATTTGTTCCTGATGCAAACAAGTACAAAATGGTTACAATCACTCAGACACTCGAACAAACTCTAACCAATGATCTCTCAACTTGCTCACAAGTTCTCCCTCTCAAAGTGGTCAGAATACTCTCAAATCTCTGGTTAAGAAACCTTAAAAACCGTGTTTCAATATGTATATCAAAACACAAAACCAAACAGGTCAGAAAACAAATCCAGGCCCAGTCTGATGCGCGGTCGACCGCACCATTGTTGGCGGTCGACCGGCCAGTAGACTGAAAAATTAGTCTAACACTTACAGGGTTCATGAACCAACAAACATCTTGTATTTGTTTACGTTTTCGGTCGACCGCACATGTCGTCGCGGTCGACCGGACAGAACCAAAATCTGTAGTTCTGAGTTTTCCTGAGTTTCGCTGTTTTCTCTTCACATGACACTAGGGGTGCACAAGAATATCTATATTCATGGATATATCATATCTGTATCCATTAGGATATAGATATGGTTACTAAAATTATACAACCGATAAAATATGATTATAGAAATTGTTATGTAGTGAATTATCCGGATCCATATCTGGAATATGGGAACATATGTTGATCATACAGTTCTATTTTAATCCTTAAATTAATTGATTTGAGACTTAATTTTGATGATCAAAAGATCTAATCTTATCTTTTCGATCAGATATAAGGAGAGTTGGTTGTAAAGTTGTGTTTTAATCCTTAGATTAATGGGTTTGAGAATAAATTTTAGTGATTAACACATCCATTCTTAGCCAGGGCCGGCCCTGAGGTTTGGGTTGCCCTAGCCCACTCCTCCTCTCCCGCTACCCTTCCCTCTCCCCCCCAGACCCCCACCACGTCTTCTCCCTCCTCCGAACCTCCTCCTCCTCCCTCCGTCGCTGCACCCGCTGCTGGTTGCCCCCTGGCCCTGAGTTGCCCTAGCCCCGGGGCTTGGTGGGCTTACCCCAGGGCCGACCATGTTCTTAGCTTTTCGATCAGATATAAGGAGCATATTAACGAACTCTCTTATGTCACATGAACAATATATTATTTTCAATATTATTTTTCTTTCTCTTATTGTTATATCTGTATATGTATCCATTGATAGCAAGCAAACACGAATATAAGAAGTAGCACATTCAAGTTGTAATCAAACCGTATGCACCCCTACATGAGTTGGTATTTTCAATCATGGATATGTTAGTAGTTTGAAGTCAAATGCATGCAAAGGTGTTAGTCTAACAAGTTTAAAAAGAGGTTTAAGTGATAACTTTGAAGTTTAGAGAGGTTATTTGCCAAACTTAAGGGGAGTTTCGTGAAATATAGTTATTAGATCCGGTTCATGTTGATCTGTCAGATCATGACAGAGTTAGCACTAGGGGTGAGCACGGTTCGGTTCGGGTCGGTTTTTACCAAAATTTGAACAACCGAACCGAACCACCTACAATTCAAAACCGAACCGAACCATTGCAAATCGGTTCGGTGCGGTTCGGTTCGGTTTGTTCGGTTCTATCTTCATCAAGTATAACTTCACTTCAATTGATCTTTTATATATTCTTATTACCCTATGCCAGCATGTATTTATTTTTTAACTTCACTTCAATTTATTATTCTTGCTCATGTATGTATACTGTTTTAAAGTGAAGTAACTTGTCCTTTTGGATTAAATACTAGACTCTGACGTTGTAATTTTTTAGTAACGGACTTGCTTTGTCTTTGGGTAAACGGGTAAACGGGTAGGGTTTGAGGCAAGGGAATATATTCGGTTGGTTCGGGTCGGGTCGGTTTGAAAAATTGTCAACCCGAACCGAACCGCCTTACCCATAAAACCGCTTTTTTCGGGTCGGTTCGGTTCGGTTCGGTCGGTTTTTTCGGTTTGAACCGAACCGTGCTCACCCCTAGTTAGCACAACCCATAATGTAAGATCATGTGTCTGTCAACCATTATGTTATTTTAAAAGACACCATAGACACACACAAAAACACACACATCATACTTGTTTCAAAAGTATGAGTCAGGGAAAAGCTTTTTAATGGTCAATATTACCCTTCACTATTTTGGACATTTCATTTAAATCTTAATCTATCCTAATCATAATCATATCTTATCTTAATCTCATGTGAACTACCTACAACTTAATAATTTTTAGAAAATAATATTAATAAAAAATTTGAAATAGCTCCACGATATTAATTTGTTAAGGTAAAGAACTAATAGGCGTAATATATGAAGTATTACTAAATAATCCAAACTTTCAAAAATTACGCAATGTCCTCAAAATTTTAAAATTACATAAAAAATTCTAACATTTCAGAACATAAAATAACAAACATGGAATCTAAAAATCAATAGTAGCCTCTAAAGAATTTAAAATCAGCAATTAACACTGTCAACATTTAAAAAATTATAAAAACACCCTCAAAATTTTAATATTAAAATGGCAACCTAAAATTTTGAAATTTCAAAGCTTGTAAACGACAAAGATGAATTCAAGGGATTACCATCATGTAGCTAAAATTTTAAAAGTTTATAAAAACTTAAGTTATAAAAGTTATAAAAAACTCTTCTAAAAATTAAAAATGACAAAACACTAAAATTTCAAAACCCATGACTGGTACATATTGAATCTAGAAATCATCACCGAACGACTAGAAATTTAAATTTTATAAAAGACAATCTAAAGTTTTAATAATTGTAAAAACTACATTCAAAATTTTAGAGTTGCAAGAAATATCTTAACATTCAAAAACTTACGACCAACCCATGAAACATGAAATTACAAGCCCAACTTAAACGTTAAAATTTTTAAAAAACACTTTCAAAGTTTCAAAATTTTGAAAACACACCCTCAAAAATTTAAAAGGGCTAATTTTAGAAAACCCCTCAAAACTTAGCAAAGAAAAGAGTTGTTTTTTGATATTCTTTCATTAAGGTACATAAATTCAACTTCTAATTTTAAGGTTTACTATCCCTTTTCTGTGTCTAGATATCGTCTAACTTTTTTTCAAAAAAATAATAATAAAGGCAAGGAAGCATTGATGTTGGTTCAATAAAAAATAAAACCGAAGAAATAAAAAACACTGTTTTCTGAATATTTTATACAATAACTTATTTTTTAAAAGTAAATTAGGAATCTTTAGAAGCGATTTACGCGAATTTTTTTAGTAATTTTATATGCTTATGTGGATGTTTTCATTATATAAAAATGTACTAGAGTTAGTGTAAATCTTTATTTTATGATTTTTTAAAGTCTATTAAGGATTAGGAATAAACTTCATATTCTATTTTATGTTCAGCTTAGCCCACTTTTAGCAATCATTTTATCTTTTTAGCTTTAATTATTCATCTTTCTTTTATAATGCTATTCTTTAAGTGCTTTTCACATTTGCAGCACTATACTTCCTCAGGTCAAGCTTAATTTCTTGTCGGTCCAAATAACATAATAATTGAAAATAGTTTCGAATTATATTTGTTTCCTATCAATTCAATTATCAACATTAAAACTTAAACCGAGTGCAACTCATTTAAATGAAAATCAAAGAAAATAAATTATCATAATGCAAAATTTTAAAGACATATTTGAGAAAAAGCTATCAAAGTTAAACACAAAAATAAATTTTAGTAAGGAAATAAACTAAAAATACATAACCATGATATTTAATCAGGTGCTTTGCACGTGCATTAAACCTAATGTATGTGTGTGTAGATATATTCATTTTTGTTGATGGTTTATATGATCACACAGTCAGTTGGGATCCAGAATAGGATCGTTTCTCTTAGGCCCTCAATGAAGTGAGGTAGAGGAGATTGATGAAGGGACCGTTTCCTTCTCCGACTTTATGTCGGGTTCTTAAATTAGGGAATTGAAAAGTTTGCACAAGTAGAAACCCGTGAGAGGATGGGGACCGGTTCCCACGTTGTACCACCAACGATCAAGTCAGCTGGTAAGCTTGAGTGGGGAAGATGAAGAGCTTTAGTGAGTTCTTGTGTGCAAGTATTTTTTGCAGATAAGGGAGATTTGGCCTCCTCCACTCCTCCTCCCCCTCCTCTCCTCCTCCTTCTTAGGTTAAAATAGTACATGTATTTATACTGAGGGGGTAAGGATAGATTGGTCACTTCGGCCGAGAGCAGAGAGGCGGTGGCGAAGTGTGGCCTGGCAGCTGAGTCAGTCCTTACTGTACAGGTGTCGGTAGGAGGTTGGGGGGAGAGGTCACATCGGCGTGGATAGAATGCCACCGCATTGCCCGGGAAGTGATTGATGGCGTGACAGAGCCCACGTGTATGACAAGTCATGTAGACTATCAGGGCTAGGTCATGATGGCTCATGACTGGTGTTGATCGTGGTGCGGACACGTAGCCAGGGGAAGAAACTCGAGGCAGATATTATCCTTCAGCTTAACCGAGAAGGAACACCCCTCGAGTCGTCTTCGTAAGGCGTCGAGCAAATGGTCGAGTGGACCCTTGACGACTCACCTTCAACGAGAGGGTCGACTGGTCCCGGCTCTCAAGTCGACATGAGGAACATTGATTTGACGAGTCGGCAAGATCGGGACCTCTGCTGGGCTCGGGCCACCAAGTTGATTGGGGCCTGGCTTGCAGAAATATATCCGTCCGTCGTTTGGCAAGGATCTATATTTTGGCGAGTGAGAATACCATAGCAATTTTATTTGTATTTTTGAATTAAAAATGTGTTTGATATTAATTCTTTAATTTATTAGGTGTTGTGCAACGGACGTTTTGAGCCGACTATTCATCGGGTGACAACCAGGGGTAACGGACACCGTTACAGTACAAACTGTTCATCAGTTCCAAAAAATGAGACAGTCGTGCAACCTCCAGAAGAATTGGTAGATACCGAGCATCCATTACTGTTCAAGCCGTTCTACCATCCTGACTACCTTCGTTTTCTTTTCTCTGAAGGGGGAGTAAAACACAATCCGAATGCTCTTAAGGTTTTCTCTGGCATAAGTACTGCAGCCAGGGAAGGAAAAGCTGAAGCTAATTGAGTTCCATTTACGCATATGACTATGGTTAATTATTTACAAAATCACTTGGTACTTCCTCATCAGTTGCATTGCTATATGGAGTGTAGTTCCTGTTCCTCGATCTTTTGTTGTCTGTGTGTGCGAATAAATTAATCTCAATACTTTTTCTATTATAATTTCCTCGTATGCGTTACTTTCTAGTGGACTAGTTCCTTGTTTATGTTCCTATCGAGAGTATGCGAATAAATTTATATATTAGTGTGTGTTGGTATTCTCATGATCTGTCTAAATTTTTATGGATCTAGGATGCGAGCCTAGGGCGAGAGTAAACAAAATTTGCCTGCTATTTTTCCGTTATCACACAATATGTAGCGGAAATTAAAATACATTGATAATAACACTAAACAATAAACAAAATACCGATTAAACAATCAGAGCACCCAAGAATTTTTGTAGTGGTTTAGATAAACAATCCTAAATTCACTCTTTCGGCTCGCAAAGAGGCTTCCTACCTTTTAAAAATATTCCCCTGAATCACTGACCCGATTCATTAGGCATACAAGACCGCACCCTAGATTATCCCAAAAACTAGTCATCTAACCAAACTCCTCACAACGAGTTATCTATACCCCTAGCAAGTTCCCAACCCTCAATTCAACCATCTTGAGTACACTATAAAAGTAAGATTAATTTGATTAAATAACAAAAGACCATTTACGCTCAATTAGACAAATCTTACAGCCCTTTTCGCTTAAGATCAAAATCCAAGAAGATTTAATTTGAGATCTGGAAACTTGATGCAGAATATAAGATCCAAGATCGGCTCTCCTCATTGTAGACGGATCATATAATAATATTTGTTGCGAGTTAGCGATCAACGAGGCTTTGGGGAATTAAATGACTTCTTCTTGATGATCTCTCCCAAACCCTAGATCTTCTCTCTCTCTCTTTTTCTTTTTCTCCTCAAATTTGTTCAGAAGGAAATCAGATAAAATGTAGGAGATGATTGAGAAGCAATCTTGAATAAACGACTGAAACTGAAATCTAAAAATCTAGAATCTATTGATTGACCATCGATTGTGGCTCTCGACCATCAATGGTGACATAGTGACCGTCGATAGTCTATGACCCCATTGATGATCTGAAACTCTCTGGAATTTTGCATTATTGATGTTCCATAGCACCATCAATAGCCTATAGGAGATCATCGGTGGTCACACTTGAACCATTGATGGTTCAAGTGCTTAAATCAACTTTTAACTTGATTTTCAATATTTTTCACCTCGTTCTTTTTTGCATACATGTATACTCCTATATTAGATCATGCATCTTAAACACAAATTAGACTTTAATGAATGTTTGTTATTACTCAAATAAGAGTTTATTATAAGGATAATTAACGTCCAAAGAGTTTTGACTAGCCTAGTACACAAAACTCATTTGTAGTATGTTTCTTTTGAGTGTGAGAATAAAATTATTCAGTGTATATGTGAGTTCCTTATTTGTGTTTGTTTTCAGCGTACGTAGTTTCTCAGTCGCGACCCTTTTGAGTTTTGAGTGTGTGAATGAATACATTATTAATTAATTCAGTACCGGGCATCTTACTCTGTTGTTATTTTTCTTATCATCTCCTACACCTCTATTGATTCATCTTCCTCTATAGTATAAATTAATGTCATTTTTGTCTTGGATAAATACAATGAAGTTTTAATTTTCTTTCTGCTTAATGGAACTAAAATACCCTATTATTTTACTATATTTATACTTAAATATCTTACGTTGTAAAAAGTAGCATAAAATATTTCAAGTTGTCTATTGTTAGAATTAGACTAACGCCCTTAAAAAATTGGGAAAATTGCTTGAAGCAACTCAAAAAAGTTGAGCTATGCATCCTCCTCCCCAGCCAAAAAACCAATACTCCCCCCAGCCCTTATACATAAATATAAGTGCAACTAATCCCCAAACACTGTATAAACCTACTGCCCAATAAATCCATTCCCAAATTACCCTTTCCAATTTAAAATAGAAAAAAAAAATACTCCCACAATCCCTTTCCTCCTCGAGCTGACCCTAATCTCGGCCCAAGATCCCCCCTTCCGTACCATCCCCGACGCCGCAGCCTCCACTCTTACGCCATCTTCTCCTCGTTCCTCTTCTCTATCCTCCTGCCACCCGCGCGACCGCGTGGGGAATTCTCGAAAAACCCACGTGCAACGGCAAGTTCCTCTCCCCCCCCCTTCGCCCTTACCCTCCCCTTACTCCCTCGTCATCTACATCCTCTCCTCCTCCTTGTAGGCGTCAAAAATTACCTATGGGTTCCCGCACGCAGCTCGAGATGAAGAGAAGATGATGATCATTATTATCCATATCAAGAAGGATTATCTGATGTCATAGAAAAGCTAACAAATGCACGAAACGAGTTGATAAAACATACAAATCAATGGGATGGTATAATAACGAAGAAGTGACTCGACCTGGAATTACGTTTCGCTCACTAAAAGTGAAGCACAACTCGTGTCTCATCCATTCCATATATAATTCACCCATGGGAGGTTGTAGAGATATTCACAAGCTTTCTAATGTGCCTTGGATCACTTCATTCAGAGGTTGAACGAGGGAGTTAGAGCCAAAATACTAGAGACAGTCCAGCCTGTTTCGCACCTGCGAGACACCAATTATGTCTTGCATATTTTGGTCATGATAAGATTCGAATATAAAGAAACTCAAAAGACAAAGGTTGTAGGTCTCTTTGTTATATTTCCAACGCATTTTGAATAATCTTATTCTGAGTTCGGACGAAAGAGTTAAGACAAAAATATCCGAGATAGTCCAAGCTATCTCGGACATGTGCGAGACTGTCGAAGTGACTCGCGCCCAAGTCAGCTTCCGACGTGTTTTCTGATAAGATTGGCTTCTAGAACTCCTTGGAGTCATCTATAAACATGTGGGGTTATCCTTAAACGTGTGAAAGTTGTTACACAACCGAAAACCCACCTAAACGGATAATAACAGTTGTTCTTCGATCCTATCCACAAACATGACATTTAAAGCCTATAAATACACCCCTAACACCCTCATAAAGGCAGATCTGAAGGGAGACACGAATTTCAGTGAGAAGGAGGAGATCTTGGTGAGTTTTTTGGCATAAAGAATGATTGTTTGATAGATCTGCAGCCCAGTTCATCCATTTTCCTTGAGATTTCAAAGATCTAGAATTCTCGAACCTTAGCGAAGCCCTTCTGGATCAAAGACTGAGGAGCACGAATTTCAGAGAGGAGGAGGATATCGGATCGAGTTCTTCGACAAAAGAAAGAGAGTTCGTCAGATCCATAGCACGGTTCCTTCCCTTGAGATCGTACCTAGCTGCGATCTTAAAAAGAGTGGTTTGCTCGCTATTGTCGAGATAATTGCTTCGTTTTCTTGATTTCTTCACGAATCAACGAAACTCCTGATTGATCTGATTGCTTGGTAGTCTACGAACATTAGCATCCCCGGCACTAGTAAAGATCTTATGCAAACAGCGGGTGATAAATGTCCGTTGTGTTTGTTTTAACGAGAGTTGTAATTTTTAATTTTTATTATGTAAGAGTCTTATAAAAAGACAATCTTTTTGTTTTCATTGTGACGATCGAAGTTGTAATGAATACCTCAATGAAGAAACCAACTTTCGACCAAAACACTCCCCATTCTCCCTCCTCCCCGACCCCCTCCTCGACTCCGTCCGCCTCCTCCTCTCCAACCAACGCCTCTCCCAAACCCCCTAGTTCATCGCCCTTGGCATCCGACGACCCTCGGGTCAGTTACATGTCGTGCTCAATCTTGGCCTCATCGTGGTCCCACACATGCCGGGGAGGATACGATTCTACAAAGGAAATAAGATGGTGGGTTGGGACTGTAACATCCTGATGTATTTTTGTTTGATGGGTTGAAATCCTTTGTGAGGATGATTTTGATCCAATTAGAGTTCAATTTGGGAGTGTTGTTATGTTTCTTAGTTATTCAAGGTTAAATGGGAAAATGAGGGATTTTTTGGTGCTAGGATATGCCAGTTTTAGGTTGAAAGTTTATAGCTTGGACGCAAAAAGTGGAAAGAACCAACTTCTTGCTGCTTTTTTTCTCTGTTTTGCATCAATTTTGATTTTCATTGTTGCTTACATAACAAATGCCAAGCTTTCAGTTTCTGTGTTTGTAAACAATGCAAACCTGTAGATTTCTTGAGATGATGATAATAATAAGAAGAAAGATGAACCCTTTGAGTTGATTAAATGAACTTATTTACTCATGTTGTTAATCTTGTATGCTTTAATTTGTTCTTTGCAATTGACAGTACTGTTGCTTTTGTGCAAATTTACCGTTTGGATGGTTAACAAAGTTCATCTGTTTGTAAAATTTGATAAGGAAATCGAAGCAACTTGTTTAATTTTGCTATAAAATTATGTTTGTCCTTCATGTGACAAGCCATCTTAGAATTGCTCTAGGTGTTCTTTTATGAGAAAAATCTTGGGCTCGTAAATAATACATATAAGGAAAAATGTCACATATTAACTACAAATATCACATATTAATATCCATGTGTCCTTTTATGTGATATTTGTAGTTAATATGTGATATTTGCTATATTCAAGTTTTTAATATTTATATGATTTATTACATTTACAATCGTTAGACCGTTAAAGCATTAGTTGCAAGACTTCAAAAATAGATTAGAGAAATGTCTATAAAAAGTATATAAAGAAGTATATAGATGATGGGAAGGATGTTCTGATAATTCTGATATGTTATGCTGATCATTGGCATGTCCTTAAGGTCAATTTGGGGCAAAAAATGCAGACATTACAGTTCCCCTGACCATGAGGCATGGGCTAGAGACGTGTTGACTATCCAGCTATTTTTAGATAGGATGGTGAGTGGATACGACTAGGCGTCGACATTCAGAGCATTCGAATATGAAGCAGTTCCTTGTTAAGCACAAAAAGGCTCGTAAGTTTCTCTAAACATACTTTCCAGTTTATTAATTGTTGTGATACTTGCTT